ATGAATAGACCTTAACGCTGACGTCATATGCCGTTGATGACGTGCACCCATACAGATTTGGCCGCGACTATATATGATATATTCTCGTTTAAGTGTAAATATTTAAAGTTTAAGATATAAATATTAGTGTTTAAGGTGTAAAAACAAATTATGGTTAGTTGTGCAGCTTGTGGTTGCTCCTTGAGCACAAAAATTAAAAATATTCATTTACATTTCGTAGGTGAGTATTTTGGTTAACGTTTAATTTATTTACTTATTGTATATTTTAAAATAATTAGTTGTAAATATTAAACATTAATCAATGTCAAATAACGTAACCTTAGAACATAACCATAACCTAAGAACGTCACCATCATAGAAAAAACCATAGGCGTATCATATTTTCTGATACTAACCTAATTATTATAAAAATTAAACTTCAATTGTATTTACTACGCCACTGTCAAACGGAAACAACTATCCGCCATATTGAAGCTCCACTTTGGACCCAAGGTCATTTATTAAATGCTCCTTCCTGTTGTTTTTTGTTCTAAGCACTATACACTTTGCACTTGGGATTCGCGGAACTATACACTGTTGAACGAAACCTTACAGAATAATTACATTTTAGGTATTTTGGATTTAAAACACACTGGTTATTTTTGTATCGTTTGTATAGCGATAGAAATATACGGGTGACATTCACAATATCGAAATTCATTATATAGAATTCAAAATATCGAACACTTTTTATAGAAAATCAAAATATCGAAAATACAAAATGTCGAAAATTCAAAATGTCGAAATGAAAATATCGAAATTTTATTTAATCGAATTTTCAATTTATCGAAAATAAAATCTCGACTGCTGTCATACAGGTTATGACGAATAGCTGTCATCTTGGTTATGCAGGTACACTGCATTGTGCCATACCAAACCAACCCAAACTTAACAACCCAACCCAACCGACCCCGTCCCATTGGGCCCCTCCCGCCCCATTGAGCAATAGAGGTATAATATATCTAAGGGCAGGCTGGGTCGGTTGGGTTGGGTTGTTAAGTTTGGGTTAGTTTGGTATGGCACAATGCAGTGTACCTGCATAACCAAAATGACAGCTATTCGTCATAACCTTGAGGAATACTTTGCAACATTTAGCCTCTAGTTGAAAATGAGGTTAAAATATGCGACGGTTGAGCACACACATTTCTACGTCCGTCCGACGGTCGAGCACACACTTTTCTACGTCCGTCCGACGGTCGGGGAGACACTACCTTTAATTATTCGACATTTTCAAATCGACATTTTAATTTTCGATTTTATCATTTTCGACATTTTGAATTTTCGATATTTTGATCTTCGACATTTTGTATTTTCGATATTTTGATTTTCGATAAAAAGTGTTCGATATTTTGAATTCGATATAATGAATTTCGATATTGTGAATGTCACCCGAAATATACGTCTGACTGGTACAAGCGGTACTGTCGTACTATTTCTAAACCACTTCAATTCATCAATTTTCATCAAATTTTGCACACAATGTAATGTACTTAAGGTCTTTCAGGCTTTGAGGCCACTGGAAATTTTAAAATAATAAATGTTTAAGGTAAAGGCTTCCTGAAGTGGACCCTGAATTTACCAAGGGTCAAATTTTATAACAATTTGTTTTCAAAACAATGTCCATATAAAAAAAATTACTGCACATAAGTTTTATAAAAAATATGCACTTGTTAATTTATACACTGAAAAAAATTTACGAAATTTTACACATCCAAACACACATTTATTTCTGTTTTTTTACTTAAGAAATGTGTTGTTCCATATAAAACATGTACACACATACTTACATAAGTAAAATTGCATCAATTTATGTATTTTTTTTTATTAATATGTAGTTTTTCATATTATTATGTAATAAATCCTTAAATTTATGTGCTTTTACAATTTTTAATGTACTTGTACTATTATTTTCCTAAATTTTAGATTTACATGACCTTTGCATTTTTACACATTAGGGTGTCCGTTATTTACCAAGTTGATTTTTTTTCTTGCGACGCCCCCTAAATTTTTAGTCTATCGTCTAAAAAAAAATTTCAGACCAAAATAAACTTTTAATATTCATAATAAACCTTGCCCCAAAGACGATACATTTCCCATTTAAATTACATGGGATTTTGAAACTTTTTTCAATTAATTCTTTTTTTCCCAGGCAATATGACTTACAGCAATGAGACATATATATTCTTATAGTAAATTAAACGCTCTACAAAAAAGGTCTTTTATAATTTTTCGATTAAATCACTCGTTAAAAAGTTATTCGAGGTGAAAGTTAAACTCTGTGTACATTTTCTGATTTTTTTTACTTTTACGGCAAAGTTATTATTATTTCGATGAAAGTTATTAGTATATTTCTGAAAATAGATAATTCTGGTGGTATTAGGGTACACAATTTTTAAAAACCTGAAAAATAATAGACTGCATAACAGGTAGCTGGTTCTAGTTTTAATCATTTTGGAGACTTAAGTCTCAAAAATTATTAAAACTAGAAATTTATTTATAACACACAGTCAACTAATTTTTATTGAATTTCAAGTTTTGTATACTTTTATGAAATTTTCCTTCAATACAGTAAGTGACTCAAAATTACTCTTACAAGCATTCCCGCCAACACACGGAATTTTTATTGACGCAAGCGCGCTAAAGCGCATTTAGTACCTTGACGGCGCTTTAAGCCCTTTTAGTATTGTATATTTGTTATATTGTATACAAATATCTCTGCATATTGTTGTGAATGTTGTGTCGTACATTAACAGTAGTTATTTATATGTATAATAAAACTTGTTTATTAAACACAAAAAAAAATTAGAATTAGTGCAATTTTTAACATATAGGTAAATAAAAACTTTAAAATTAAAATTGGAATTAAAATTTCACAAATAGTTCTAACCTATAAAAATTTAGGTTCAATGGATCTAAGACAAAATATATTTTTGATTGGAAAAACAATAAGTTCAATTACCGGCAAAAAGTTACCAACAAATAAAGAAGTTCTGCAACTACTGTACCATCACTCAAGAAATTGCAATAAATCTATTGATGACAGCTGTTCAATCGTTATACGTGAAGTGACAGGAATTTGGAGTGAAGCAGTAATTCCAACTCAAATTAATTCGCGTTGCATAACAAATGCAATAATTCATTATTTGTTTCAGCAATATTTATATGAAAAATCCGTCGAGTTCTTTGATCAATTAAAAATTGTTTTGTCTCCTCGTCAATCATTTTAAAAACGTCACCGTGAGCAATGTCAAATAATTGTTCGAGTTTTTCTGTTTTCTGCGTAGAGACTTTTTAATTTTGTTATGCAACTTGAATTAATTTGAGTTTGAATTACTGCTTCACTCCAAATTCCTGTCACTTCACGTATAACGATTGAACAGCTGTCATCAATAGATTTATTGCGATTTCTTGAGTGATGGTACAGTAGTTGCAGAACTTCTTTATTTGTTGGTAACTTTTTGCCAGTAATTGAACTTATTGTTTTTCCAATCAAAAATATATTTTGAACCTAAATTTTTATAGGTTAGAACTATTTGTGAAATTTTAATTCCAATGAGATTTTCAATATAAATTTAATTTTAAAGTTTTTATTTACCTATATGTTAAAAATTGCACTAATTCTAAATTTTGTTTTTTGTGTATAATAAATAAGTTTTATTATATAAATAACTACTGTTAATGTACGACACAACATTCACAACAATATGCAGAGATATTTGTATACAACATAACAAATATACAATACTAAAAGGACTTAAAGCGCCGTCAAGGTACTAAATGCGCTTTAGCGCGCTTGCGTCAATAAAAATTCCGTGTGTTGACGGGAATGCTTGTAAGAGTCACTTACTGTATTGAAGGAAAATTTCATAAAAGTATACAAAACTTGAAATTCAATAAAAATTAGTTGACTGTGTGTTATAAATAAAGTCTCAAAAATGATTAAAACTAGAACCAGCTACCTGTTATGCAGTCTATTATTTTCCAGGTTTAAAATTGTATACCCTAATACCACCAAAATTATCTATTTTCAGAAATATTGCCGTAAAAGTAAAAAAAATCAGAAAATGTACACAGAGTTTAACTTTCACCTCGAATAACTTTTTAACGAGTGATTAAATCGAAAAATTATAAGAGACCTTTTTTGTAGAGCGTTCAATTTACTATAAGAATATATATGTCTCATTGCTGTAAGTCATCTTGCCTGGGAAAAAAAGAATTAATTGAAAAAAGTGTCAAAATCCCATGTAATTTGAATGGGAAATGTATCGTCTTTGGGGCAAGGTTTATTATGAATATTAAGATTTTATTTTGGTCTGAAATTTTTTTTTAGTAGATAGACTAAAAGTTTAGGGGGCGTCGCAAGAAAAAAAATCAACTTGGTAAATAACGGACACCCTATTACACATTATATGTAGTTTTACAGTATGTTTTTACATATACATTTAAATACGTGGCATCAAAATAACCAACGATCAGATGTGTAAATTTACTAAATATTTTTTTGAGTGTATAAGGAGTCGACTCCTTACGTTTGGTCCCCTGATTTTGGGACACCCTGTATATACATATATTTTGTTAGTTAATTTAGATGCCCACAAAAACGTACTTAGCAATAAATATTGTAGTTCAAGAGATAATCGCGATTTTATTTCAATAATGACAATTGTTCCCCAAGGCAAATTTTTTTAACAAAATACAAAACAAAAAGTTACTTATTCAATTCAATTAACAAAGTAACAAAATAATAAAGATTACCTAATTTGTTACTATTAATTTAACGTGCTTAAGATGTTGACCAAAAATGTTTCGCTGCACATTTTTTCACCTCAAAGATTTTTAACAAATTAATTTCGAAAAAAAAACGGACATTCGACCCCACTATACTAAACAGTTAAAATTACTTGCTTTGACGTTTTTTTAATGAGTTCTACTTACTAATTAAATAAAGTAAAATATTTTACCTTCCAATGCCAAGGAAAACGCAAGCTGATGCGTAGCCTTCCTGCCCTTCATATGTGGACATTCCTTCCCAATCAACAGAGCCTTGATGTCCGCTATGGCGATCTTCGACGGCAAATCGTCGACGCACGGCGCGCTTTTCTCATCAACATCGCCATAATGCAGAACCTTGTGGTTGGGCGACAAACGCATATACCAAAACTTATCCTTAATGCGTTGCCCGCGGGCAGAATACTTCGTGAATCTCGTTCCCTCCATCAAAAAGGAAAGTCTCTGTCTTTTGATGAGATTCATAATGTTTGGCGTTATTTTTTCGCGCAGCTCTACTACGGGTTTGGCGTGAGATTCCCATTCCTCTCTACTATCGCGTTCCAACTGCCATAGCTGAGTTATTTCGCTGTATGTTAATGATTGTAGTTTTGTTTTTAACTTGTCAAGGGAGGCTGGTGTGGTTTCCAAAGCCCTCACAATTTGTTCCCTGACAACGCTCGCCACTTTACCGAAATCTTCAGATGTCGCCCTCATCTCCTTCCAGGTTTTATTTAAAAGGACTATGCAAATACAAAAACACTCTTCAAAAGGATGGTCGTGGGTGAAAAATAACGGTTGGAACGATACACACTGCTCTGACGGCTGTTCCCCAATTTTCAATAAATCGCATAAAATCCTCACCAATTCCACACTGGCTCTCCCGAAAGGACACTCGTGTTCATCGGCTCTACAGCAGTTTTCCAGGACCAATTTTGTGTACGTTTCCACCTGGTTTCGTGCGAAATAAATCATGCAATCTAAGGCCAAAAGGCCCGGTGGGGTTTCGATAAAATCCAAAGCTGGGTTGATATCGTTTCTAAATCCAAGTTTTTTGTAATCTCTCGTGAAACCCGCCGGTCCACGTATGTTGCTGAGTTCGCTTTCAAAGGCGATTTTTCTTAGCTCTTTGATTTTGTCGTGGCCATCGTGGTCCTAAAACAATAATACAGTTTTTGATTTTTAAGATAGATATATCTCAATGAGGAATGAAAAAAATCTCAAATTAAAAAGAGCTACATCTGCAATATTTTACTTAAAGGCAATGAACCATTTTGCAATGACCACTTTAACACAGGACCTCAAAGAGTACGCTGGGGCTAAGCTTTATAACAAATTATATATATGTATCAGAGATTTGCCTTTCAAGAATTATATGAGAAAAATTTAGTTTATAAAAATATGTATGTATTATTTTGACTTATCCTATATCACTTTGTGATCTTTGGACAAATAAAGAATTGAGTACACGTTATTCTTTGAAATAAAAAGGATTTTTCTTTTTTGTATGATCGTGTATTGTGAAAAGTTTTGATTTGCAGAGCGCTTTCGGCCTTAAGCCATCTTCAGTGCTTATAAATAAATCAGCCTCAATATTTTCAATGTTTTACGTATAAAAATAGGCATGCACATACATTTTAAATTTAGGTCCCGATCCGGCCGGAATTCCGGCGATCCGGTCCGGTCAGCGGCCGAAATTCCGGTTCCGGCCGGATCGGCAAAATACCCGATCCGGTGCATCCCTAGTTTTATCCACACATGTAAAATGGACAATTTTATCTGTATCTGTAGAAAAATAAATTTATATAAAAATTTCACTAATAGTCGATCTTTTGTATTAATATAATAAGGTAACCCCATATATTGTCAATCATAAATGGCCTATAGCTTTTTTGTTATTGGGTTTCCAAATATGGGGGTGAAATTTTTGATTTTTTAAAGCATTGTTAAAAGATTCCATATCGATTCTTTAACATTTTTATTTACTATTTGATTAAGTAAAAACATACCGGGTGTTACATTTAAAATAAAAAAGTTATCAACTTTTCAAGCTAGCCTAATTTTCCCTGGGCTTTCTCAGGTAATTTGTTAAAACGCATTTGTCAAATTTTAACGAAAAAAAAATATTAACTCGTAAACTATTCACTTAGGTATAGGACATGGTATAGTAATTTTACTCAGAATTTTATAAAGAATATAAAAATGTAAAAATATATGGGGTGTTCAATTTGAAATAACAAAGTGGATGCCACAAATATTTTAGAAAAATAGGCTTAAATAAAATTTTCGTTCCCCAGAAACTTCTAATGGACCACTAATGTGAAACACCCTGTAGATATATCTGTAGAAAAATAAATTTCTATAAAAATGTCACTGACACTAAATAAAAATGTCTATAATTGTTTTTTGTCGAAATGTTGTAAAAACTGTTTTATTTGACTATTTGATTATAATCTACCAACAAATTTTTGTATTTTGCTTTTTAGCAAAGTTATTGTCAAATGAAATTTTTGATAACTTTTCAAACAAAATCTAGTTATTCTTGAACCGATATATCGAATTTGATTAAATTTGGCATATCTCAGGTAAAAAAAATGTAAAAAAAATATTTTTTATAATTTATAAAAAATTTTATAAACCATTAATATTTTTCTGGGCCAAAATATAAAGTAAAAAATTTTATTTCATAACAAAACTAAAGAATTTAAACCCGTCAAGAAAAAAACCGGCAATTATAACTTAGTAAGTTTTCCAAGAGCGCATTTTCATGACCTTTTTACTTAAACAAATAGAATTTAGGCACGAGCGAGCTTGCGAGCGAGTTCTTAAATTAATGAGTGTATAGAAAAGTTTATAAACGAGGTGCAGACTATACTTTTTCTACGACAAATACTTATTATTATCTTAAAATGATTTAAATAAAAAATTTGTATAGAGCGCCATCTATGAAACAACAGGGGAAACTGTCAAATGTCAGTGTCACATTTTTACATTTTATAAACACAATTATAAAGGTTATAAATCGAAATGTATATTGAAAATTGACAGTTTTTCACATGTTCACTGCAGTGAAAGTAAAGGAAATGTTTTATGAAGACTTTACAGTAGAGTCCGTGTCCGAATTTAAGTTATAGTTTACTGCCGGCGAAATTAAAAGGTCATTACAATGTTCCTATAAACTTTTTAAATATTGGCGTTGAGAAACTATTTAATATTTTTGTATTTTTGTATTGAGATAATAATATAATTTTCACATTTAGTATTATTTTACAAGAAAGGCACTTTATTTTAACGATTGTATGACATTTGACAACTGTCAACTAACTTAAAACTAACTTCAGCCCGTGACTAAAAACCTGTTGCTAACTTCAGCCCGTGACTAAAGCGCCGTAAAGCCACAACTTGTCAATGTGTATTTAAAAGGTCACTTAGTGTCATGGAAACATGTACGATAAAGGGCGTTTTAAAGGTGGGAGTAGAAAAACTCTTTTATGCGTGTTTTTCTTCTGTAATTTTTGAATAAAAACTAGCTTTATCCAGTCGCGATTTACTTGTTTATCATTATTTAGTTTTTAACCATTTGGTTTTTATTGTTTAGTGAATTAAAGTGTTGTTTCAAAAATATAATTTATATTTACTACCGCAAAAAATATTTTTTTTTCGAAAAGTACGGAAAACATACTAAAAGAAACAACTACATTGTTTTTTAGCGAATTAAAAACTACCATACTTAAAAATTAATGAAAATAGTCATACAAAAACTAGCGTATCTTAAAGCCCCTGTATTTCCGCAACCTGTGCCAATTTTTGCCCCCCCCCCTTTTACATGGTTAATGTACCCTATTACAACAACTCTACCAAGTTTCATCAAAATGGGATTTTTAAGCAGGTACACACCTTAACAAAGAAAACACACTTTTCTGCAAATGCAATTTGTCGAGACTTGTGTGCGTAAATAAAAATTTAAGTTTGTTTGAGCTCTAGAGTATATATTATTAATATATCCACCTATCCACCTCAAAATGATATTAAGAATTAAAAAATTACTTTTGACCAAAAAATTCCTTTTTAGAAACCATAGTGCAGCCATTAAATTAAATTTCGCCATCATGGATTTCTTCAGCATTCAGGAGTATGTTTTTTACATATTATGTTTTTGTAACGGTTGTCTTTTTGTTGATTTTTAAATTTTAAAATAAAAAAAATTCAATTTTTTTGTTTGATTCGATTTTTTTTATGTAAATCGGATTTGGCCCATGCTAGATTTGGTAGGACAGAGAAATCGAGTGTTGCCCAACATCTATTTTATGATGGTCATAGAATAGGATTTGACACTTATTAAGAAAGTTAAGGACCCAAGTTTGCTAGATAGTCATGAAAGTTTATGCATCTATAAGAATAGAAATAAACGGAAATAAATCTTTAAATAGCGATAACAACACTAGTTTGTAAAAATAAGTTTGTTAGTTTCTCTTTACGTGTTCACTGAGGCGATTGCGGTCCACCGTTTAGTAAAATGTGTCCGTTTACGGTTCAGTCAACCTTAGCTTATAATTAGTAGATTGGTAGATTTAGCAGTTATATTTAGTTATATTTCGCTTCTAAAGATGCCATTTCATACAAATACATCTTTTTTACCAACCTATTATAACTGGCATATGTAACATTTCCATACAATATGTTTAAAAAAATCAACAACAAAAATGGGTCACTTGGTACTTTTAGTTATATTTCTGTTGAAAAATCAACGAAAGGGAAAGTGTAAAAAGTGGTAAAATGTTCAAAATCCAAGAGAAAATATAAATTTCTCATTTTTTATAAGAAAATTTGAAATTTAAGTAATTTATTATTATATCTGATTTCTCACCTGTGAATCCATTTTGGTCATCATCCTCTGCTCCAACAAACCCAATAATAAAGTTTGTAAAACATACAACTGATGCGCCATTTCGGCTCCATTTGCCACCCCAGTTTGAATAATATTATTTTGTATAACAGATCTAACTTGTTTTGAGATTAAAGTAGCAGCCAAACTTCTTCGTTTCGCTTGGTCAGCTGCCTTCAGAAGAAGAGCATTTATTAAGGCTACAGCATTTTGTTGAACCACTGGGGCTTCTTGCAAATGCCCCACCAATGATCCTATTGGAATTTCTCTTTCAACCTAAAAAATATTGTTGGTTATTATCAAAAATTTTCGTTTTTTTCCACAATTTTTTGATAAAATGATTTTGTGAGAAAATATTACCAAACAATTTTACAAAACATAATTATTTAATCAAAAAAAAACTGCAAAAAAATATTAAATTCATAATTTTATTGAAAAGTCTTAAAAAAGAGAAAAGGAATTACAAACTAATAAACAATAAAGCATATCACAAACACAATTTTAAAATCAAATAAAATACATGGTGTATCCCATAATTAAAATATTGTGTTTTTAGGTCTTGACTATATATTGATTAATAATTAATTAATTATTAATCAATAATTAATTAATTTAAAAAAACAATTAAACTTATTTTCCTAAACAATTAAAAAAATAACTTACCTGCCCATATCCCTCAGTACTATTCAAAACCACATTTTCCAAAATTGATAGTGCTGCCTGTGTAACCTGGGCTTCTTGATTAGAGTTAACTAAATTAGCCACCCTAGATATAAAATCCCCACTTAAAATATCCCATGAAACAATTCCATGTTCCATAAGCTCAACAAATGAATGCAGAGTGTGAGCCAAAACAGTTCCTTTGCATTTTCCACTTTCAATTTTCTTTATAATCAACGTCAATCCCTGTTTGTTAATAAAATCCAAAGCAAAAGTCATATCGGAACTTAAATTTGACAAACGCGTCATTGCATGGGCCTTGTCTTCAGGGCTGCCTGCGTTAAGCTTTTGCAAGATGTCCTGAGCTGTTCGAGAAGGAGATAATTGTAATCGTAGCACAGATCCATTTTTAATTTCGTTCCTATTCTTCTCAGTTATGTAATTATTATTGTTACCGTCATTGAATTGTAGTGCGTATTGCTCGGGCTCTGGAAGACTCCAACCATTGCAAAGTTCCTGTATTATGCTAGTTAAAGGTTGTTTTTGATTGAATTCGATTAATTGCGGTACTTGATTGGTCATTTCGACCGCAATTTTTACAATGTAGGAGTCCTTCATGGCTGGCATTTTTTGTTTTTCCTTTTATATTAAGGAAACATTAATTAATCACTTCCCCATTCCCCCACAAATAAACAAATTTTGACACTCCTTTTAACGGGTACGCCTCGATGCATCGAAACTCAATAGATCGAATCTCGCTAGATCGAAAATTTACATGACCTTCGAAGCTCACCAGATCGAAAATGTGTGGCAACGTCTCTTTTGAAACGTCAAAGGCTTAAGGCTTTGTTCACATGTTTTATACAAAAAACGTATTTTCTTAAATGAGATCTACCTACTTTCGTTCAAACAAGATTTCGGTCAAAGAAAAGTAGTATACATCTGAACCAGAATCTCAGAATCTGGCAGATAGGTATGCAATGATATTTATCAAACAAAAGTACAGATAAATATAAAATCCCCTTCTCAGATTTTTTTTTAATATCGGAAAATTCATATATAAAATAATAATTATTGGAATAAATTTTGGAAAGTGTTGTCAATGTATAAGGGGAATAACCATACATTCCTTGCAAATAAATCATGGAAAATGCATGGTTTTATAAATAAATATTAATATACTCATATGCATGGTTTTATAAATAAATATTAATATACCTACTTACTCATATTGTGAGTTACGTACGTAACACGTGTAAGGGGCAATTCATTAATTACGTAAGGGTCCCGATGTGGGAGGGGGGGTTCTCAAAATCTCCCCATACCCTTATCTCGGGGGAGGGGGGCTAAAAGCCATTCTTATCATTTTCTAAAACCAGATAAAATCTTACGTAAGAATTAAGGGGAAGGGGGAGTCCGAAAAATCTTATGTGATCATGGGGACAGGGGGGTCAAAAATGGCCAAAATCGTCCTTACGTAATTAATGAATGGCCGCTAAGTGTAACTTGGTGTTATATCCAGGACTCACCCGGACAACAATCGGGATTTCCTGGTGAAATCATGATGATATCACAACGTGATTTTTTTTATCACGCCGTGATATCCTGAGTGCATACACATGCTTCATCACAGTGATATCATGTAGAACTCACGGTGTGATATTTGCAAAATTTGCGCATGCGTAATAGCCCTGCGAACTGCGAATTTAAAACCTAGTTTGTTACCTGTTGATTCAACATAACTTTTCTCTTAGTGTACGAACGTGGCGCAAAAATGATAATCAAAACACCGTTGGCATAAAAAATCACGACATGATTTTTTATGCTATCGGTCAAAAATCACGACATGATGTTCGTATGAATATCACGAATGTTGTCCTTTTTTAATTGAATTCAATTAAAAAAGATATTCCAATGTTTAATAAAACGTTTTGTTAAACATTGGAATATCTTTTTTAATTGAATTCAATTAAAAAAGGACAACATTCGTGATATTCATACGAACATCATGTCGTGATTTTTTGACCGATATCATAAAAAATCATGTCGGGATTTTTTATGCCAACGGTGTTTTGATTATCATTTTTGCGCCACGTTCGTACACTAAAAGAAAAGTTATGTTGAATCAACAGTTTTTGCGGTTAAATACATTCAATATTTTCTTGAATGTAAATTAACTATTAATTTAAATCCAAAAAAATATTGAATGTTTTTATTTAACCACAAAAACTGTTATTTCAATATATATGTAGGTATTCTTTTTCTCTCAATGTACGAATGTGGTGCAAAAATAAATATCCAAACACCGATGGCATAAAAAATCACGACATGATTTTTTATGCTATCGGTGTTTGGGCATAAAAAATCACGACATGATTTTTTATGCCATCGGACATGTTTGGATATTTATTTTTGCGCCACATTCGTACATTGTGAGAAAATCTATGTTAACAGTTGAATTAACAGTTTTTGCGGTTAAATACATTCAATATTTTCTTGAATGTAAATTAACTATTAATTTAAATCCAAAAAAATATTGAATGTTTTTATTTAACCATAAAAACTGTTGACTCAATATTTATGTAGGTATACTTTTTCTCTCAACGAACGAATGTGGCGCAAAAATAAATATCCAAACACCGATGGCATAAAAAATCACGACATGATTTTTTATGCCATCGGTATTTGGTCATAAAAAATCACGACATGATTTTTTATGCCATCGGTGTTTGGATATTCATTTTTGCGACACATTCGTACATTAAAAGAAAAAGTATGTTAACAATTGAATTAACAGTTGAACATTCAATATTTTCTTGGATTTAAATTAACTATATATAGTTAATTTAAATCCAAGAAAATATTAAATGTATTTAACCGCAAAAACTGTTGATTCAACATAATTTTTCTCTTAGTGTACGAACGTGGCGCAAAAATGATTATCCAAACACCGTTGGCATAAAAAATCACGACATGATTTTTTGTGCCATCGGTCAATCGCAAACAGCGATGGCATAAAAAATCACGACATGATTTTTATTTCTCACGCAGTGACATCCGGATGATGTCCGTATGAATAAAATTTGTGAAAATCACGACGTGATATTCGTATGATTTTTATTTATCACGCGGTGACTTCCGTATGATATCAGTATGAATAAAATTTGTGAAAATCACGACCTGATGTTCGTATGAATATCACGAATGTTGTCCGGGCATGGAGGGTTATTTTTTTTCTATGGAGTAGGTATGCTTTAACTAATTAGTTTTTTACTTTTTTCTGTGATGTATTTAAAGATGTAGGTATTATCTTTGCTTCAATGTAGGGATATATATATATATATATATATAAACTCAAACGGTATACCCTATAGGTATAGGGTATACCCTTTGAGTTTTTCTGTACAGATTAACCTGAAGGGTAAATACACGAAAGCAAAGGTAAAGAATATGCATCTAAAGGAGAATCGAGTTCTAGAGAAATATCGGTAAGACATCGGGACCCCCAATTGGCCGATTGCTGGCTGGGCTTTCGGCCGGGCGGTCATTTACGGTCCGGATCGACGTTGGCGTCCGGCATTGGCCCGATAATCCGTAGTCAATCGGCCAACGTTTAACCGACGCTCAATGTTTGCTGGGCATCCATATCACGTAAAATATTAAAGATTAAATGATTTGAAGCCATATTATTTCAGATTTACATAAGGGAACATTTTTAGAAAGAAAATACAGGATTGTTGTGGGAATATTCATATTTCTATTGTAAATTATAATACAAAATTATATAAAAAATATTTATTTTCTCTTATAACCCTACAAACAATGACGACATCGTCTTTTATATCGTCTTTCGTATCGTTATTTTTTTTTAAAACTATCTCACACTTAATTCACATCGCAGCATCTTTTTTGGTCGTAATTGTGCATTGCATTAATACATAATTATGATTTTTAATTATATTTAATCAAAACATAGGTAGCTAAAAAGAACTTTCCTAAGTTTACAACTCGTAGGACGACAGTCTTGTCGATAGAGAAACCTATATCGTTGACGAGATAAGTCCCGATATCGACAAAACAGTCGTCAAAACGACAAACATAACGATATCGTCTTTGACATCGTTTTTCGTACCGATATTTTTTTTTAACTATTTTACACTAAATTCAAGTCGCAGCATGTTCCTTGGTCCTAATTTTGCAGTGCATTTTGATTTTTATTTATATTTTTATATTTAATAAAAACAAAGCTCTAAAATAGCTTCCCAAATTTGACGACTCGTCTAACGACCCTCTTGTCGATATACATATATCTTCGACGATGTAAGTTTCTATATCGACAAAAGGGTCGTCATGACGACAAACAATGACGATATGGTCTTTGACATCGTACGATATCGTCTTGCGTATCGATATTTTGTTTTAACTATATATATATAGGTAGGTAGGTATATAGTTTTACCATTGATTTAATCAATTTGATTAAGGTAGGTACCCAACCCTATTCCTTTACTCAACGGTTTTACACTAAATTTATGTCGCTTATAGTGCAACGCTGTCATTGCATTGCAAATAAATACTGATATTAAATATAGAAAATAGTAAGAAGAGAAAATCATAGAAAAAAGTATTATTTTATTATAGCTGGTGTTGTAGGAAATAAATTTAAATATACCGCCGACGTGATGTCGGTAATGTAGGTACCTATCATTAACAGATAGAAATTAATAACATGGCGAAGCTGAGTTCTTGTGGCTTGGGCTGGTCTATTTGTGTCTGTTTAGAGCTGTGTTTATCTAATCTATGGATGTGGAGCTGTATTTAATACTTCTAAATTAAAACGTAAGTAGACAGATTGTTTTATTATAGGTAGGTAGTTCGTATTTGTTCGTATCGTATACCTAAATGATGGACAGGAATTCAACCTAAATGAAGGAGAGGAAACCAACCTAAATGAAGAACAGGAAACCAACATAAATGAAGGACAGGAAACCAACCTAAGTGAAGGACAGGAATTCTTCCTAAATGAAGAACAGGAAACCAACCTAAATAAAGGACAGGAAACCGACCTAAATGACCCTGTAACTATATATGATATTACAGACTCTTTAACTTTAAATGATAATGATAGTGGCAATTACAGAACTTTTTACATAATTTAAATATTAATATTTGAAAAATGTTAAAACTTCTATACAATTTAAATTGAATCACTGATTTTAGAAACACCTAAAGTCAATTTACTCGAGATATTCTTCAAAAAAATAATTATTTTTATATAGGCTTTAAAATCATTCATTTCTTTACTAGGGTGCTAATTTCACAAATAAATGATTGGTAAGTTTATATAAAAATAATTAGGCAATTTAATTAGTTTTCTTCATTTGTGACTTAGGGTCTTTCTGAAATTAGTGGTACAATTGTTCACTTGCATTAGTTTCACTTCACTTTAATCTTTCTATAGAGTTGGGCGTTACTTTATTATGGCATAATAAGTTTTATCAGAGTTATTTATTTTTATTATTAAGGGGGTAATACACACTAAAGTAAGCAAGTTTTTTCTCTATCACTTTTGGAATAAGCTACTGTTTTTGAATAAAAAAAGTATGAAAATTGATGTAATTTTTCGTATGCCACTGCTGTTTTTTGTTTAACGACCTATAAAAAACATATGTTTTTGCAAAAATCCATAAAGTATAGGTGGCCAGTTATTTAGCAGTAATTAAAAGAATCAGTTAAATGTTTTATTTGACCCATTATACCACCTGTAAACAGGAAGTTTAAGTGGGTAAAGTTTACTTATCTTCAGAAAGGAATCAGTGGCGGGGTCAAAATACTTTAATAATTTTTATATTTTTTTTATTCAAAAATATTAGCTCTAATGCAAAAGTAATAGGGGAATAACTTGCTTACTTAAGAGTGTACTATCACAACTTATTTGGTGACACTGTATTTTGTTTTAAAAGTTTATTTTATTTTTTAAGTTTGTTTTAAAAATGTTATAAACTTATTATTGTAATAACAATTCCTTGCCATTGTGGTTTTTGTTTGTAAATGTCATAAATAAAAAAAGGCTTTTTTAATTGCATATTTTTTATTTAAAATTTTATCACCTCTAGATTTGTTCGCGATATCGTATGTCGATTTGTTTACGATATCGCGTGTCGATTCGTTTACGATATCGCTTCTCGATTCGTTTACGATATCGCGTGTCGATTCGTTTACGATATCGCGTTTCGATTCGTTTACGATATCGGCGGACATCGTTTGACGATATCGCGTTTCGACTCGTTCGCGATATCGACAAGCATATCGGCATCGACGTTAGTTGGCGATATCGCGTTTTGACTCGTTCACGATATCGAAATACATATCGACATCAACGTCATTTGACGATATCGTGACGATAAGAATGTAGAATCTAAAAGTGTCGGATTACGAGTCCTCGGAATTCTTATCGTTTTTTGTATCGTTATTGTTTGTAGGGAAAACAAAAATATTATGTTACCTAGGTATTATAAAAAACTGTAAATAATCAAATAAAAAAAAATCTGGTATTGCCACGTTCTTCGTGGAAAACTTCAGGCTGATCCTTCAGAGGATTCCTCGGTTTCTGGTGGTGCTTCGGTAAATTCTGCGGAGGCATCGGCTAACGCTGCATTTGCTGATGCTGCCGCATGTAGTTGGCGCTGGGCTTTTGACAGATAGATTTAATTCTAAATTTGCCTTGTTGTCGCTGCCAAATGATTCGTTATACAGATTCTGTAATCATGTTAGCATTAACAATGAGTTAAAACTTAAATTCCAGTTATGTTTTGATCAACTCTTTTCCTCACCACCCTTGAGGTAGAGTCCAAGGCGCGTTTTTTTTAACGTGGTTTCCCCAGTAGGCCTATTCCACGGTCATAAAAAATAAACTTACGGATGCGTCAATGCTAATTTCGGAATCTTCTTCGCCAGTTTAGATAGGAGCAACATAATCCAATAGGATGAACAAGAGCTTGCTGCAGAATATATCGTCATATTTATGAATTAATGAATGATGAATGAATGATGCATAAATGATGAATGAATGATGCATGAATGAAAAATAATGAATGAATATTTAAGATCTTTTTAAGAATTTAACAGGTTTAACAATATTAGGGGTTTGTTAACAATACTAACTTAGCATAATAATATTATTAACAGAACACCACATAAGATGTTCTTTAAAAAGAAGTTAACAATTGTTACTTACACTTTAAAGTGTATTGGAGTAAATTAATTACAAACTGGCCTTAACTAAAAACTTAATAAAATCACTTGAGTCTAACTAAATAAAAAATTAAGTCTATCTACATATCTATCTATAGTATAGATTCTATAACTCAGAGCCAAAGTACGTTAAGTCCAAAATTTTAAATATGACCAATCAAAATTTAAACCAGTTTTTAATATATATTAATAATTTATATTTTAAAACTAATTTATATATAAATTAGTTTAAAAATATTATATAATTCTCTTAAAATAAAGTTTTTAATTTATACTTGTACAATATTATAGGATTCAAAAAAAGGTATTTAATATATTGAAAACTTGTTTAAATTTTGATTGATTATATTTAAAATTTTGGACTTTCATCTAGAGATATAATAACTGCATTACCTACAAAAAAGTCCATCAGTCTTAAAAAACTCTATAACTTACAAAAAAGAGTAGTAAAAGCAAATTTAATAATAAAAAGTTACTTTTACAAAAATAAATTAATAATAAAATATAGGTACCTAATTGTTTAGTATTTAAAAAAAAAATTTTAATATAGGTAATGATTTATTATTTCCTTATAAAAGTTAAATGATATGCATATTCTTATTAATAAGAATATGCATATCATTTAACTTTTATGTTATCCTTTAACTTGAAGATATTAAAAAATGCAGTACAAAATTTTTGACATATTTTGGTTTATGTTCTTAGGATAGTGGCACATAATATCCATAATATGGATAAATATTATGTAGCCTACTTAAGTAGGGTTTATGTCTGCCTGTTGGTGTACAATGGATTCCTTATTCAAACTTGGGGGTTGTGTTGCATTTATGTAAGGTTTATGTTCTTAGGGTAGTGTTATACCTATACATTTCATATTCCAACTTTAATTGCATTCAGTTTATATTCTCAGGTTGGTGTCCCATGGCTTCCATATTCCAACTCCTTTTAAAAATTAAAAATTTAATTAACATAAAATTTAAAGCAAAAATATATTGGGCAATTTTTGGTAAAACAATAATATAACAGACATTAACACTGATGAAATTTAAATTTAAAAAATTCTACCTTTTTTAAAATTTTTTAAAATGTTCCACTGTTAAATTCTTTTTGGATGCATTTTTCTCATTTATGTATCTAAATGGATGTATTTAAATGTACACATTATTCAAAAAATTTTATGTGGCTATTAATAATTATGTTACAATATTATTGCAATGACTATAATAATAATTAGTAAACTTTGGTTAAAAAATAAGGTAACAAACCTATAAGATTTAACATTTGAAATAAAACATAACAAATTGTTGTTATTAACAATTTAAACTGCTTCTAATATTTTTTCATTCCAAATAATTTTGTTTGTAAAGTATTGATTATAATTTTTACTAATATATTTTAGAACACTGACAAGTTTATAATATTGCTTTATTTGTATTGCCACAAGTTAATAACCGAATTATTCTTTTTTATGAACCAACTGGACTTCAGTAATAGAAAACCAAGGTTTGCTAAAAAGCTGACAATTAAACAAAATACTTACGTTTTAAACTGTACACAGTTAAATAAGCCTTCTTAAGAAGTTCTTATAAGCAAACAGGACCCAATGGCACACAAAACATGATGTCCGACTTTTTTTCACCATGGCCGTTTTGGAAGAATCAAGCAACAAAGCATACGTGTATGTGTGCTTGGTTGCATAATTTTGTACCAACTGGCAACTCATCGATTAGGAGTCATGTTTTCAGTTTTGTCAATTCTGTTTCACCCCTTGTCACATACTAGGATAGCTATCCTTCGAAGGATACATAAAAGATCTTGTATGTTTCTCTCCTTTGTCTAACTCAGTGTCGGTGACAATTTCGCATCATGGATATTTTTATTTTTTAATTATCTTGACTACTTTCACCTTTCGGCATCCTCAGGAGGTACTGAAAACATACAATATTTAGTAAAACACACATTTAAAATAGATATTAAGTGCATACTCATCAAATTATACATAAAAAGGTCATCTAAGATATTAATTCTATTATTTCAAAATTTAAAATTATTATTTCAAAATTTAAAATGTTTAAAGGACTGGTTGGCGATGCTGACATGGTCATGCTACAAATCTATCCTAAATTGACCAACTGTTTCTACTTTCAACTTTGAATAGGTAATTGGAATTCTACAAAAAAAACTTAATTTTATTATAAAAAATATTTTTAAACTTACATGTCAAAATCACTTCTTACAACCATAGAATAAAAATACAACATCACTTGTCAATGTTTTCAAGTATTCATATAAATACAAATTACCATTTTAAAGTACCTACCTAAGAATAAATATCTTTTTAAATTTTGTTGCTTAAACTACTATACTGTATATATACATCTACAGGCATATCCCAGATCGAACTTTGTTTGCATTTAAGAAAAATCGCTTTTTCCTAATGAAAAATGTGAACCAAACCTTACCAATTTGATGTTTAAAGTGCGACGATGCCACACATTTTCGATCTGGTGAGCTTCGAAGGTCATGTAAATTTTCGATCTGGCGAGATTCGATCTATTGAGTTTCGATGCAATGAGCTGCTCCCCTTTTAACCAATGTATTATTCGGTTGGCAGCAACTAAAATATTTAGGTTGGCAGCAACTAAAATATTTAGGTTGGCAGCAAAAAACAGAAAATAAATAACTAAATCTAATTTTATTTTATGTTGGTAATAAAAAACCGTTGACATTCGAATTTAAAAGGCCGTCTTCTAAATGTCAAATCAGGTAAAAAGTGCGAGACCAAAGAACAAGTGGTTAAAGTAATAAAATACTGCTTGTGTTAAAATGTCTGAATCTGTAAAAGCACAGAAACAACATGATGTTAACAAAGAAAATCCAACAACTTTCTCCAAAACAGCAAAACCGTCTTCTGCAAAACTTGCATTAACAGATAATCAGGAAGTAAATGTTCCAGAAACAAACAAACAAAGCGAAAAAGAAGCAGGAGGTTCAAAGCAACCCAAAAATACATGGACGCTGGATGATTTCGACATCGGAAAACCATTGGGAAAAGGAAAATTCGGCAATGTATATTTGGCACGTGAAAAAAGGTCAAAATTTTTAGTTGCCCTTAAAGTTTTGTATAAAAGCCAAATTAAGGACTACAATAATCAACATCAGGTCAGAAGAGAAATTGAAATACAGAGCCACCTTCGACACCCAAACATTTTAAAGTTGTATGCCTATTTTCATGATGATTCAAGGGTTTATATTGTATTGGAGTATGCACCCAATGGTAAGTCATTTCCTTCTCTTCATTAATTTATTTACTTAATATTTATTATATCTTTAGGTGCAGTCTACAAATTTCTTATAAAACAACCCCACAAAAGATTCCCTGAAGATGTCTCAGCAAAATACATAGCACAAATAGCTGATGCTCTAAAATACTGCCATTCCAAAAAAGTAATTCACAGAGACATTAAACCAGAAAATCTTTTGCTAGGACCTAAAGGTGAAATCAAAATCGCAGATTTTGGTTGGTCTGTACATGCCCCTTCCTCAAGAAGAACAACTTTATGTGGTACTTTAGATTATTTGCCACCTGAAATGGTGACAGGCAAAACACATAACTATAAGGTGGACTTATGGAGCATAGGAGTTTTGTGTTATGAATTTTTAACTGGAAAGCCCCCATTTGAAGACAAAGAATACAATGAAACATACAACAAAATTAGTAAGGCTATATATTATTTTCCAGAGTATGTTTCAATGGAAGCCAGAGACTTAATTCAAAGATTATTAGTAGTTAACCCAAATAATCGGCTGGAACTGAGTGAAGTCCTAAAGCATCCATGGATCTTAAAATACAATGGTGCACCTACAGACAACAAAGAAATGTGATTTGCTGTGTTATTTTTTTTATAAATATGTAATTTTATGCAAAAGTAGCTATTATTTTATTCTATTTTTTAATTTTCTCTAGACGAATCTTATAGTTATGAGATTATGTTTCCCAAAATCATAGCTTTGAAACAGGTTTTCATTGCATTTTATGAGAATAATTTTATTATGGCGATTATTTTAAGGTAATTTTTTAAACCTTTTTTGAGGTGCTACTTTTGTTAAGTCAAGCAATTGTTCATTAGGTATATTGTAAGGTAAATTAAATTAAAGACTGCTTATTTTTAAATACATCTATTATTTATCTAATCCTTTTAATTTTTTTATTTAATAAGCAGTTTTGTTATAAACAATAATTGTTAATATTTTATTAAGCTTGGATTTTTTAAATAAAAATAATTTATTTTGTATTTGTCATAGTTTTATTAAAGGTATTAATTAAATATTATTTAACACCTCATATCTACAGGTGTCCTAAAAATGGCATTTTTTATAGTTAATTTTAATGGTAATATATGATTTTTGTTATTAATTTCTTGGGATTTTCCTTTCAAGATTTATCCCTCCCCTATTATATGTATATATGCAGGGGTTCCCAAAAATAGTGTGCAATACTTTCTACAGTCTTTTAAAGGGGCCCCTGAAGATGGTTTTTTATTATTTCCTAAACGGTTTGAGATAAAATAATAAATTTTGTATGCTTATAAGCATACAAAAGTATACTTTACTTTTTATGCTGAATATAAAACTAACAACAAAATTAATTTTTTTATTCATGAGGGTATTTTTAGCCCCCTTTTTTTTTGACTGCAGGATATAAAAATTTAGAGTTTTCCTTGTAAAAAAGTAGGTACTCTTGTTGAACATGGATAAAATAACAAATTTTAAAAAAATTGTCATTTCTTTTTAAATTTAATATATTTAAAAAGAAATATTAATAAAAAAATACATGTTTACCGAAAATACATTATTTTATCTAAATAATAATAAAACATCTTTATAAGGTCACTCCTAAAAATGTTTTGTTTATTTTACATTTTTAAATATTTCTACATTTTGAGATGTGCATTTTTCAATTGCTTCATAAGTGTTTTTCTCTGAAACAAAGGGAGAAAAAAACACTGCATCTCAGAAACAAAGCATTTAACGTTTTTTTCTTATTTTTATACTTAGATGTAATCTCATTTTTTTGCAATACAACGTAATTAATCACCCTGTACATTTTTGTTTTTTGGATTTTGTGAAATAATGTTGATTTTAAACTTTTAACTCAACCATGCAGGGCTATATTATAAATTAAAAAAATTAAGCATATAAATACATGTATTATATATAGAAAACTACCCTTTAATTAAGACTATTTTTTAATTTTGAAACCAAATGGAAGGTTAGAGGCCACCGCCAGAGGTTAAATGTATTACCCTAATGAAAACATGATGAATTTTATTATTTTAGTCTTGGAATAACTAATCAAAAATTATATTATTTATCTTTATTTTTCGTCTTATAATTCATATCAATCTTAAACTTATTTAAGTTGGGACAAAAAAAATCGGATGTTTTTAAAAATTTTTATTTTATCTTATTTTATAAAATATTTACTTTTTCTTGGGGGCTGTTTTTTGTGGTTTGGTTGGTTTGGATTTCTTTGTGGGTTTTGGTTTGTCGCCCCCTTTGGCCATTTTCTTTTTGCCATACAAAGTACCATCTCTGGATGAGGCTTTTCTCAAGTTAAGGAAGGCAGCAGTACGAATCTTGTTCCTACGAGAACGAGCCCTACGCAACTTGAAGCGATCGAAATCTGAAAGTTGTGCACGCTAAAACAGAGAAACAAAGAAATCATTAAGTTTACTCTTTTAATTTTAATTAAAGTTATCAATATATATTTTTAAATAATAGTCAGTAATGATTTGATCTTCAGTTTTGTATCAGTCGGCAATTCCTATCAAATCAGGTTCATCATAAAAAATTTAAAATGCTACTTGTGTCCAAAAATTATATTTTTTTATTATAAAAACTAAATATAAATTCTTAAAATAGTATGGCTTTAAATTACAAATGGAGGTTTCCACTAAAAATTGTAAAAAAATAATGCATTTTACAATAAGCCCAAAATTAAAAATGCCTTTCTTAATTTTTAACAATTTTTTTTTGAATTAAGTACATATATGAAAAAACAACACAGACATTTGTTTTTGGGAAAATATTCTGGAACAAGCAATATTATATTTTGAGAATAGAAATAACTTGTAAAATGTAAAATTGAATTCTTAACATTTTATGTAAATACATTAATATAAAGGCATTGCATTACCTTTTCCTTGGCGGCTATTTTTTTGGCCCAGACAGACTCTTGCCATTTCTCATCGATTTTGTTGTCATTCCACGCTTTACGTACAACACGTGTGCCTGCAGAGTGTGGGATTTTAAGTCTGAACTTGGTCAAATGTAATTGGTTTAACCTTAATTGAGTTCTGGGCACGTTTTGTGTGGGTCCATCAACTAAAACCTACAAGAAAAAACATGTTACATCACACATACTCTTTACAACAAATTATATGTTTATAAAGTTTATTTCAGACTAAAAATTGGCTTCATTTTTGTATCAGCCGGCAATTCCTATCAAGAATAAGGTTCATCATAAAAAATTTGTAAAATTTTTAGTTTGTTGCACACACATTCTGCTAAAGTTTATTTTATTTATCACTGGGTATAAAAAATACCCTGTATATTTTGAAAAAATATAGTTCCAACAGCAACCATACAAAATAAATAAAAAAGAAGGTTCAGTCGTTTTCTAACAAAATTTAAAGATTGTTTATGTAGTAGTATGTTTTAGTTTTACTGATAAATATAACATGTAAAAAGTTTATAACAAATTAAAGTATCATTAAGAAATAAAAACAAGATAAAAATGAAATAAGTAAATATAAATTTTTAATTTGGTGAGAAATTAACACTTTTTAGTAGACACAACATAATTTGAAACGTCAAAAAATTGTTTTTTGAGATTTACTTTTTGTTTGCAAGAGTTTAGAAACGAATTTTTTAAAAAATCTATGGAAAATAATACTTGTGCAGAAGTGTTATTTCCCATAGATTATTTCCAAAATTCTTAAGAAACGAAATAGGATCATTTTAATAGCTTAAATATTGATTAGGTATAATAGTTTATTTTTATGGAAATTACATGAGCAAGTTCTTGATATAAAATAAAAAAAAATGTATGAAATCAAATGTAAACTTAAAAAATCTTTATAGAAAGTAGACTTTTGGTAATATCGAAAATTTAAATTCTTCATTTGGCTTGTTTGGGGTTATAGATGCTTATGCACAATTAAACCTAACTCGAGGACATCAGGATGGTGAGTTTAAAATGTTCTTCACCAAAATGTTATTTTATTTTCAATTTGTTTTCTCTATCCCCATTCAACTGCATTACAGGCTTAAAGTGTTTTGAAATACTTTTGCATATTCTGTAGCTTGGAATAGGAAGGTTGAGCACAAATTTGCCAATTGTAGATATTAGCTATAATTAGGTCTTTTTTGAAATTATCATATAAGTCCATTTAGGTCTTTTTTATTTTACTTATTTATAAACAGTAAAATACACAGACTTTGGGCTTTATTAAACACAGAGCCTGCAATTTTGGAGAAAGTGTTTTCTTGTGCGTGAGCGGTATTTAGAAAACTCGATGCACATTGTGAACGTTTACCCAAATAACAAGGTCTTACGAGTGGTGTAATTAAAAATTGTACTTACTCTAGTTTGGTCAATAACATCAACAATGCTAACAAGTTTTCCACGTTTAGGACCATCGGACACGACGGCCACGCGGCCGGATTCAACGAACCTTTGGAACGGCTAAAAAATAAAATCCCATTTAAATTTTACTTACATCAAATACCATGTGGATTAAAGTTAACCAAAAAAATGTAATACATATTAAACAATCAAAACTAAATGCACAATAGATAGACAGATAATATTGAATGTAAAGTAACTCCAAAAACGTATAAATTTATTAAAAACTCTTTAAAAACACAAAAATTGGAAACGGACTCCTTACCATGCTTAACCGAAAATGCAAAAGAATGATGGCCGACACGTTTCCGGTAAATGAAGTTTTGACATATGACAGTGTACTCGGCCAGTCAAGACAACATCTTTTTTATGATATTTATTTTTTATTGATATAGTTAAATGTTCAATATTTATTTAATATTATAATATAATTTTAAGCAAATGTATTATGATACAATTTGGTATTTTAGTTTAAATATTAAAATAATTTTATTCTAACCAAACTTGTATTTGACTATTAAGTTTGAAGTGTCGACAGGACCAAATATTTTTGTATAGTCTGCTTTTACAATAAAAAAATTACCAAATAAAAATCTAAATATCCTTTATTAAAACAATTTTACTTAAAGTGAGAATAAATAAAATATGAAACGGTTAATTAAAAAAAAATATTCATATCCACTTTATAATTTAATTTTTGAGATTTGGTGTTGACCGTGAAAACTTATTATAGCAAAAACATTCTTCTTGCTGGGTTTAGACACTTTAGACACATTCTGTGACATTCATGTCAGTACTGTCAAATTTAGATCGCAATTGTCCACAAAACTAGTTTTGTGCAATTGTCCTACTTTTTTAAATCAACATGAATTTCAACAATTGTGAGTATTTTCAAAATAAATCTTCTAAACTTATTTAGTTATATTATGTTAATAGATAATTTCCATCATAATTTTGATCCAAATTACATTCATCACCCAGAGGGCTTTCAAATAAATGGCTATTATAATCGTGAGTAATTTATAAACGTATTTTTTTATGTTAAAATGGAAATTTTAGAATATCCTTATGATCCCAATACTTATTGCCCAATAGCCATGCCTCCAGTTCAACAGAATTTAGGTAAGAAGTTTTTTTTTTACACAATACTAAAAAAGTAAATTTATCACAATACTAAAAAAGTAAAGTAAATTTCTACTTAAATAAAAACTTCAATTTACAAGAAACATTGTAAGAATAAAATAAGTTTTCAACACAGACCTACAAGGTTTGTAGGTCTGTGGTTTTCAACCATTGTTGTCAAGTTCATCCAATATCTAAAAAATGTGAAACTATTGCATTTTCCTTGTAACATGAAACAAACTACTTAAATCAATTTAGAAACAAAAGATCATATAATAATACCTATAATTATAGCTTAAGCTTATTTAAATTATTCTTTCAGGGTGGTACCTACTATTGTGGCCAAAAAAAAGTAATCAATTTTATCATGTAGCAATGCTATACAGGGTGTCCCAAAAGTCAACGATATCCTTTGGAGGACTGAGACCAACTCATGACTAAGCAGAAAATCAAAATATGACCTTAGTAAAAAATCGTTACTTTTTGAGATATAGTCATTTTTATAAATTTTGTAAAACTTGACACCTTAGATCAATTTTTTGAGTGCCACAGCTACAAAATCTACTATTCATTTAATTTTGAATTGTAATTAATAGAAGTCCTATTCAGGGTTACGCAAAATAAAATATAATCTAAGAATATAGAATGTTTTAGTTGTGGCACTCAAAAAACTGATTTTATGTGTCAAGTTCACAAAATTCATAAAAATGCCAATATCTTAAAAACTAATGATTTTTTACTAAGGTCATTTTTGATATTCTGATTAGTCATGAGCTGACCTATTAGTCATTCAAAAGATATCATTGACTTTTGGGACACCCTGTATATATTTTTTTAATTGGCTGTTGTAAATAGGGATTTTTATAACTTAAATTGACAAATATCAGTTCAATTATTTTGACAAGATATTGTCAAGGTCATATTTAATTAAAAAAGAAACTTCAGTTTAGCCTAAACAAAATGGAACTTTAAAATTAAGCTATTATTAATTTTATATAAAAAAAATTAGGTAAAAAGAATTAATTAATATTTGGTAAAACTACGGTTCTTTTCTATAACATTTTACATGTATTTTTTTTAAATTTTAAATAACATTAACAAGTTTGTCTTTATTTCTTTGTCTTAATTCATATTAAGTTTTGAGAAGTAACTTAAATTGCATTGTCCTTTTTTTAAAACAAAAAACGTGTGCTTACAATTATCAACAGGTTTTGTTTAATAAAATTATTAAATCAACTGTGATAACCAACTATAAAATAAGAAGCCCATTAAAGAAAATTAACATGTTCAAAGTTGATAATCGTGTGTTAACATTTAAACCAAAGGCAAAAAAAAATTAGGTAAAAAGAATTAATTAATATTTGGTAAAACTACGGTTCTTTTCTATAACATTTTACATGTATTTTTTTTAAATTTTAAATAACATTAACAAGTTTGTCTTTATTTCTTTGTCTTAATTCATATTAAGTTTTGAGAAGTAACTTAAATTGCATTGTCCTTTTTTTAAAACAAAAAACGTGTGCTTACAATTATCAACAGGTTTTGTTTTTTTTTCTAAACATTTATTTTAAAGGCTTGAGAATTAGGGTGCATTAAAATGTTTTAAAAAAATAAGGTAAGAACGGAAAATCAATTAATTACTTTTTTTCGGCCGCAATAGCTTAGTTGCTTTTTTTATTCACCAGTTTATAATTTTTTCTTGTGTATTCTTAGAAAATCACTACACTCAACAAAACTACAATTATTCTACATTCCCTGCTTACAATTTACAAGGTCAAGATTATAACTACACAAATCCTGTGGAACCAACCGTACAACAAAATATTCCTTCAAAAGTTCATGTCAACCCTCATTTTGGAAAAACAAAAGTGTTTATAAATCCGAATTTCAAAAAAAGCAATGAGACTGAAACTGCTCAATCCACAAAAATTTATTTTAACCCAGAGAAATGTGGTGGATCAAATATCCACATCAATCCAAAAATGCAAAATTCTTATGTAAATGGAGAAATTCTAAAGGCTATATCAAAAAATTCTGATGTTAAACCAAAAGTTATCCATGTAAATCCAAAGATACTTAACTCAGATAAAAAAGTGAATACTCCAGGTAGAAAAGTAATTTCAACTAAAAATAAATTGGTAAGAGTACATGACTCAAATATATCTCCAAATACGAGTGTGAGAAAAAGAAGAAGTTCACTTGTGTCAACTTATAAAATTATTAAATCAACTGTGATAACCAACTATAAAATAAGAAGCCCATTAAAGAAAATTAACATGTTCAAAGTTGATAATCGTGTGTTAACATTTAAACCAAAGGCAAAAACAAACGGTAGTTTTATTAGAAACAGAAAGAAATACGTTTATGTAAATAAATTTGTAAGCATAAGTGATATTGCCAAAACTAATTTGTTGAAGAAAGTTAATGTTGTTAAGAATAATAAGTTTATAAATATTGCGGGTGTTACGTATAGAAGATCAATAAATTCTTTAAAAAGGGCAGATTCCGAAAAACCCATCAATAAAATAAAGAATACTAGATATAAGTTGGTTAGGACAACCAATAAAATAATAAGAAATAAAAGTCCTATTAAACACCATAAAGTTTCAAGGTAATTTTAAAGTGTTGTTTTTTGTATAGGTCTTTTTTAATTATTTTATTTACAGGAAAATTGTTACAAAAAAGAATGTGCCATCTAAACTAAAAAAATGTAATGTGCCATGTCCAATCTATAGAAAATATGGAAGGTGTATAAAAAAAGATAAAGGAATATGTGTTTTTAAGCATAATCCTAACCAGATTTCTTTGTGCACTAGGTTTGTATATTTTTAAATATGTAATAGGGTATATTTTGGGGTCTCAGCTATGTTTTAATTTATAATGTGTAGATTAAGGCCAAAAATTATGCCAAAAATAACCACTTCATTTTAATTTATAAAATATAGGGTGCACCAAGTACCCTTCTATGTTAAGGACAGGTTCTGGTTTTTGCTAATGTGTCCTGGTTTTAATTGGGTACTGGTTATGTCCTGGTTTTGCAGATTTGGTCCTGGTTTATAGTATAAACTTTATACTATTTTTTTTTATTATTGACATTATTAGCAATGTTCTTTTTTAAAGTAGTCAGGTTAAAAATTAATTTAAAAATCTACATTTTTGGAAGTACATTTAAAAGAGTAAAAAAGTAATAAAAAACCTCATTTGAAAAAAAAATTATGTGTTTTTCCCTCTTTTTTAGGCTTTTTTCTAATTTAAAAAAAAAGTGGTCGGGGCTCAGGTTAAAAAATAATTTAAAGATCTAAAACTTTGAAAGTACATTTAGAAGAGTAAAATATTGAGAAATAACCTTGTTTGAAAAAAAGTTTACTTTTTCTCACTTTTTTAGGATTTGTTCTATTATTTTTTTAAAAGTGGTCGCGGCTCAGGTTTAAAATTAATTCACAAATCTGAATTTTTGGAAGTACCTTCAGGATAGTAAAATAGTAAGATAAAACCTAGTTAAAAAAAATAAAAAAAGTTTTTCTCACTTTTTTAGTATTTGTTCTAATTTTTTTATTAAAAGTGGTTGGGGCTCAGGTTAAAAATTAATTTAAAAATCTAAATTTTTCGGAATACCTTCAGGATAATTTTTTATTAACGTTAGTAGCACATCTTTATCTTAAATAATAAATATTAAATTAAATAAATTTTGTTTATTTTTTGGAAGGGAGAGGAGGTGCATGCTGTGTCCTGGTTTTTCATTTTAGAAAGTTGGTCACCTTATTCAATAGAATATATGTGTATATTTCTATGGGTATTTTTTTTATTTAAAGAGCTACAAGCTACCATTTACATGAAATTTATAAATTGGAAAAAGGCCAGCAATTTTCAAAATATTTGAACAAAAACGAAGTGCCTTTTATAAGCAAAAATCGCTATAACTTTGTAATTTCTGGGATTTTTGAAACAAAGTAAGTTTTACACATTTATCTACAATTTCATCCAATTTCTTTGTTTGTATGTTTTGAGCTTGGTAGTACCTAGTAGGTACCATCACCATCTTTTGTCTTTATAATAGCCGCTATATTCCAAGTTGGCGGTCATAGGTAAAACAAGAGATATCTCAAAATACATAAGGCGAAAAAACTCACAAATTAGATAAAAATAAAAAATCCTAGAAATAACAAAGTTTTATTTTTGTTTTTGGTTTTTATAGGATTTCAGTTTTTTTTAATTATTTTAGAACCGCAGATTTTATATCCAATTTTTAAATTCCTTTTTAATAGAATTGTAATTACGCAATTTTTGTATATTTTAATTGACCTTGTAGCTCTTCAAATAAAAAATAAACTTATACACAGAAGGATACTTTGTGCACCCTCTATATACATGTATTATTTCAGATTTTTACAAGGTGCTTGTCTTAATGAAAAATGTCCATTATCCCACAAGGTTTCAGCTGAAAAAATGCCCACCTGTAAATATTATCTGGAAGGTTCCTGTTCTAGGGATAATTGTCCCTATTTGCACGTTAGAATTAGTCCAAAAGCCGATATTTGCCGCGATTTTCTGGAAGGATATTGTGAAAAAGCTGCTGAGGTATGCAATATAGTAGATATGAAAAAGGAAACATTTTTTTTTTTAAATTTTGTCCTCTATAATATTAATTATTGTTATATTGTGTTCCCTAGTGTGATAAAAGGCATCAACTTCTGTGTCCTGATTTTGAGAAGACTGGTAATTGTCCAAAAAAGAGGTGCCCTTATCCTCATGGCAAAATGGTAAGAAAGTATACTGTACGTAAAAATATTGCCAAGAAATGTTCAGAAAAATTGAAAAAGTCTAATGATTCAGAACAAAACCCCAAAACAAATTCCGACAATCAAAGTACTTCCAAAGAAGAAAAGTCTTCTAGGTACTATTTAGGCAAAGATAAGCAAAATTCTAAAGATAAAAATGAGCTTGTTTGTGATCCTGATGTAAACTTTAGATCTCGGCCAAAATTAGGTACATTACCTTCTTATATACCATTCCATGAAGAAAGTAAATGAATATTTCTTGGCAGTGATTCCCATTAGTTCTATGTTTTTTATTTAATTTATTAAGTGTAAATAAAGAATATCTTTATAAAATTGATTGTTTTATTTCTCATAAAATAACAAAATCAATAACAATATCACATTTAAGAGAAAGCAATTTACTGTTTGGGGGGATAAATTAACAGCCAATTTGTTGGCTGATTGTATCCTAACAAAATAGGAACATGTAACAATAAAGACAAGGATTCCCTGTCCACTTCAGACGAAATTTGTATCCAACTGTTTAGCCATTTAATCATATCTTCAGATTTCATGTTCATAGGATTCAAACCTACATAAAAAGGTAAGTATTATAATAATACAGCCAACAATACAATACCTCTTATAAGACATGCATTCCTTAAAGCATCTATAGGTAAGTTGTGTACCCCTCCTTCTCTCATAATAGCTTTGTCCATTTCTATTAAAATTGTTGCCCTGTCAGCTAATCTGGTCCTTCTAAACCACCCTCTGTGAATGTCATGTATTCCAACTAAATGTTTCTAAAAAAATTCAATATATTGACACTGGTCAACACAGAAAAACTTTTATGCTGATCCTGAATGTAGGTATTTGTCAAACAAAATAATATCATGTTTATCTTAAAAACGAGCTGGATAGGTAAAATAATAGTAGGTATATTATGTATCAAGTTTGATAAACGCCATTTTAGACGCTTATTTTAATTAGGCACGAGCGAGCTTGCGACCAAGTGTTTAATTAATTGAGTGTCTAAAAAAGCTTATAAACCAGTTGCATACTATACTTTTTCTATGACAAATAGGTACTTATTATTATCTAAAAATGATTAAAATTAAATTTTGGTATATAAGGTAAACGTCCCAATTATCGACACTGTCCCAATCATCGACATTTGTGCACTAAACATTCAAAAATAAGAATTTGATGCTTTGGACATCTATTGTCATAATAAAATAAGAAACAAGTAGGTTTTCCCTACCTTTCCTAAAAAGTTTCGGTCGGTTATGCAGAAAATATTAATTGAAAAAATATTTTAATCCCGCCATTCCGCAGTCATCTGTGAACTTGTGCAAATCCTTAAGAAAAGTGTTAAGAAACAGGTAAGTTAATTATGGCAATTTTAGTTTAAAATATTTAAGTTTCTTTATGTAGATAGTTGTATATTTATATACAGAATCTATAATGTATGGTTTTTGCCAATAATTTCGCATAGAATCAGTATAAACGTAAAATTATGTGGTGTCGATAAAAGGTACATCCGTTTTTAGGCTTTGTACGATTTATCGACATAGGTGTCGATAAATGGTACTATGTAGCTTTCTCTTTTCTTATGAATATTTAAATGTCTATCAAACTTATTCTTACTCTGTCTGAAGAGTTTAAAGGAAATTATATTAAACTACCGCTGTACCAATTATCGACACCCATTTTTTCCATTGGTAACATCGTTAGAGTGGATCAAAGTCTGTGGAGTGGATGTAATTTATATGTCGATATTTGGTACCAAAAATGTCGATAACTGGTTCAACCTATTTTTTTTCAGAAAGAATGTTTTAAAATGAACATTATTGAAAATAGTGAAAAATGGGAAAAAAACATTTACAAACATGACTTAAGAAAAGTTATTTGTAAACGATTATGTTATAGTGAATTATAACGATCAATCACTATATACCAGATAAAATTATTGACATATCGATGTAAAGAAAATTATGAGTTTGATTACCAAGTCTTACATATGGAGAAAAATGGGCTCAATTGGATATGGGATATGGCCCATATACGACATATGGGACATATGGAACATATGGGACATATGGGACAAAGGGATAATATTCTTTGGTATGATAGAGAAGAGGTCCTTAAAAAATTAGGAACAAAAAAAAACGCGGACTTTACTGCGTACTGGAGATTTGTGATTCAGTGTTTAAAATACCTTTATCGTCAAACAATTTTGTTTGCAATAAATACTGCTTATATTTTATAATAAATAAACTTTTATGATAAACTCTTTGTTACCTATTATAACCATTTAAATCGACTTTTGCGAGTGTCGATATTACGTACGCAAGGGTGTCGATATTTGGTTCAAGACAAATTTTCCCATGTCGATAACTGGGTCAAATGGTACTTTTGAACAAATTTATTTTTTGCATATAAATTACGCATTGCTATTTAAAAAATAAACATTGCAAAGCAATAATCAATATTATAACAATCAACAGTAAAATTGTTAAACGTGTAACTTTAATATGCAAATTTTTATAACGATATGATTTAGAAAAATCTCTTAAGGTGTCGATAATTGGGACGTTTACCTTACCGACATCTATACAAAAATAGAGTAACCGTAAGAATGGGACTGTATTACCGGCGGCAATTGTAAAATTTTTCTGTGTAAAGCGAATGTATCCCTTTAAAACCGTTTAAATCCGACATAAGTAGTTTTTAACAGTGAAAGTAAAGAGAATGTTTTATGGGCACTCCACGGTCCACGCGAAATTTTAATGCTTTATCTAGTTTACTGCCGGCCATTCTTATATAAGGCTGTGCTGCCAGTACAAACGTATATATAAACTTTTTTAAATATTGGCGTTAAGAAACTATTTAATACTTTTGTATTTGTGTATTATGATAATAATTTTTACATTGGTATTATTTGACATTTGACAACTGTCAACTAACTTAAAGCTTACTTCAGCCCGTGACTGAAAAACCCGTTGCTAACTTCAGCCTGTGACTAAAAACCTGTGGCTAACTTCAGCCCGTGACTAAAGCACTATAAAGCCATAGCTTGTCAATGTGTATTTAAAAGTTCACTTAGTGTCATGGAAACATGGTGGGAGTAGAAAAATATTTTTAAAGCGCTATTGTATATTTAAGAGTTTTTATACTAGGTGTAAACTACTCTAAAATTAGCGAAACAACGTTCAGCGTTAGGGGCTGTCCATAAATCTCGTGACGCTGGATGGGAAGGTGCTTGAAGGACAGTCACGATTTGTCACGCCCGAGGTTGGCCTAGTCACATGACAAAGTAATTAAATACTTTAAATCGAATGAAATTGCTTATTTGTTTAATTTTTACTCAGAATATTACAAAAAAGAATTTAAACTAATTCGTCAGGGTTTTACATCCTTACGAGGGAGGGGGAGAGGGTCAATTTTGACCATTTTTAGCGACGAGATTTATGGACAACACCTTTTATGGATATTGTGCCTATTTTTCCTTATTTGACGCATATTAAAATTTCTCTTAGCGACGTTGCTACACTTGTGATTTTTTTCCTTAGGGAATATACCGATATCTAGTCTACTAACTAAGATATTGGTATACCCAAAATCCACAATCCGCCAACGTTAGCCGTTGATTTGTATGCGATTTTTAATTTTAAAAAATAAGTGCACTTATTTTTTAAAATTAAAAATCGCATACAAATCAACGGCTAACGTTGGCGGATTGTGGATTTTGGGTATACCAATATCTTAGTTAGTAGACTAGATATCGGTATATTCCCTAAGGAAAAAAATCACAAGTGTAGCAACGTCGCTAAGAGAAATTTTAATATGCGTCAAATAAGGAAAAATAGGCACAATATCCATAAAAGGTGTTGTCCATAAATCTCGTCGCTAAAAATGGTCAAAATTGACCCTCTCCCCCTCCCTCGTAAGGATGTAAAACCCTGACGAATTAGTTTAAATTCTTTTTTGTAATATTCTGAGTAAAAATTAAACAAATAAGCAATTTCATTCGATTTAATGCACTTAAACCATATGGTTTACCCCTCAGGTTTATATTATAAAGAGTTAGTACTTTAGTATGTCTTTTTTATTTTTTGTTATATTTTTTCCAATGTACCTACCTGTAGTTGCTAAATTTTCAAAAAAAAATTATAAGAAAATAGTTATTTATGTCACTGAGACTGAGAAGTACATTTTTAGCGAAGCACAAAAAGGCACTTCAGTGAGAATTCTCAGCCAAATGGCATAAAACATTTTATTTTCAAGACACAATTTTATTTTTTAAACGTAAGAATACTGTATCTTAAATTACAATACAATTTTTTATTCAGTGTTTTTGGTTAAACTAGATAAAACGTACAATTATAATTATTATTCTAATTAAAAGTAGAAGTTAAGGTTGGGTATATCTGACAGTTCTTGTCTAATCGGGTTTTTTACAGCCTAGGAGGTAAACAATTTTATCTACGAACACAATGTAATCACCAAATTTTGTACAACTCACAACCTAAGTGAACGTCACTTTAAGCATGTTGTTGTTTACTAATAATCATACAGTTATATTATATATATATATATATATATATATTATAGGCAATTTCATGGGATTAAGTTGTAGTTGCCAAGGCTGTACTAGGGAATTTTTGCTTGTTTGGGTTATTACTAACATTATGGTGAGGAAATTAAGTAAATATTTGTCACAACTGTCAATGCCAATTTAAAAAATTCAAAAAGGTTGAAAATGTAGATAATATATTATATTATTATTTATTATTACTATAGTATATTATTATACGAAAGATATTGCAGGATATTATTTACAAGAATAATCCGAGTAAATAATGCGCATAATCTCGAGTAAAATAATATTCTTTTTCTACTCCTATTAGTAATAGGCTATTACGGAATTTGACCGTTCTAATATTACTTTTATCTATGGAATGACATATATTTCGTGTTACAGAATGAAATATTCTATCATCAGATGACAGAATAACACATACGGAAGTGTGCATAATAAACACTCGTGGCGACATCTCTGTTTTTAATATCTAACAAATTTTAGACCGATCCAACCTCACTTTCTTCCAATTAAATTATTTTTCTATGGTATTTTTTGGAAACGTAGAAAAAGTATAGTATGAAACACGTTTGGAATTGCATATTCCGCTCTCGTGAAACCGTCAAACTCGCCTTCGGCTCGTGTGACAAACTCTTCAATCGAGTGAAATATGCTGTATTCCAAACTTGTTACATAATATACTATTATCGCGTAAATTGCTAGTTAACACTCTTGTTATGTAAACTACCATTACCTGATTGGTCTATAGTTATTTTTGATGCTAGATTAAGAAATGTCATTTTTTGCATTTGAGAATTCGAAAATGCAAAAGAATTCCGCAATCGATTATAAAACAAATTTTTTTGAAAAAAATCCCAGTTAAAAAAATACTAAAAATATAAATAGAAAATTTAGACATTTAAAATTATTTTATTTAACATGTATATCATTTATGATACGCTGCGCATATTTTAATATTTAACGATACCCAACTAGTGCGGAAGGTGCTAATTTACCGCACTTGTTAGGTACAATATGTTTTTAACCATCGTTTTCCATTTGTAAAAAAAAAAATTTTCTACAAGGGTTCAGAAATTGCTACCTACTCTCTGCACACATTTAATTTCGAGCGTGCAAGTGCAACTTTCTGCACGGTTATGCGTGCGGAAAGTAGCTACTTTCACTGTAGTCAAAAACAATTTTACAGGGAATTATTAATACCACAGACCTGGTCTGTGATTAATACAATTGCAACAGTTGTGCACAAAATATACCAGGGGCAGTAATTAAGGGCTAAATAGTATTTTTACCATCAAGAGTGGTTAAGTTTAGTTTAAAACTGCACTTTTCAAAAACCTTGTTTAACAATAAAGACACTTACTATATGGTTTCTACTTAAATAATACAAATGGTAAGGCTCATCCTGAAACAGATCCTTACATTCCAGAATCATTTCAGGACTGGGATGGCTTCCACTTCCTAACATTCCCAAAATATTAGTCCATGGTATGAACAGGGGATGGCAGTTGACTTTCATAAAATTAATTTGTGACTGTAAATGCCTGAAAACTGGCTTGTTGTGTAAAAGACGTTTCCTTAAAAAATCTTCTGAATATTTAGATCTTTCTTGTAAGCTCCAAAAATGAGATGTGAGGAAATGTTTTGGAAACATATAAGCCAAAGGAAAAAATACATAGGGTATAATTGGTAGAGCGGCAATAACTAACACAGGTGCTAATTTTCTCATATCTTTTGGCATTTGATGGTAAAGTTCCAATTCTTTTCTGTTTAAACTGCTTAGAGGTTTGCGTCGAGAGTGTATAATCTGAATTACACTGAAATAATCTTTTAAATCAGATATGAAGAGTTTTAAACCCTCTGAAAATACCCTGTATATTTTTACAGGAATACTTTTTGCCATGTATTTATCATAATTTTTCAGGTATTCTATGTATTTGTGGACAACAAAATATTTAACTTTTTTTGCCTCTTCTGTTTTGTATATCGATCCTCTTTGTAAATTTCTTAAAGGTTGCAAAAATCTTAAAGCAAAACAGTCAATTAGACATAAACATTAATTTTGACATATTATTTATTATTCAGCGATCATAAACCAAAAATCTATGTCAGTGATTACCTTGGACTAGAAGAACTGGCCGGGGCCAGAATTTTTGGGATTTGCATCCTGCAAGCGCAGATGATTCTTGACGAATTCATATTCAAATACCTTTCGTAATATTAAACTATACCATATTTAATCTTAATATTTTTTATTATAAAATTACTTGTTTTGAAACAATAACCTAAAAAATTTCATCTTACATTTGAAGGTTAACTATTCCGAATAAATTTATTGGTCGAAATCTCGCACGTGTTTTTTGCAATGTTGCCAAAAATATCAGAAAATTAATTGTACACTTTTAACCACTACACATATGTGTAGTTTAGTGATTTTAAAATAATAATTAGTATAGTGTACTTTATTGATTTTCTATTATAATTATGCCTACAGAGGATTATACATAACTATAATATTAATGATGAAGCTCATAATTGTTTAAATTAATGTGACGATTATTTTGATTGACTAAATAGCTTTCAAATTAGCTAAAGGCCAAAAAATTTTGAAGAAGAAGAGCATTTTGATGAAAACAGTGCCGCATGATGTGTTAAGCCGGGTCTACAATTGTCGCAGGAGTGCGATCGCAGAACATAAGCTTGCGCAAAGCACCCCGCGACGTTGCGATGCATCGCGATGGAGCAAGATTCTTTTGTCAGCTGGGTGCTTTGCGCAAGCTTACCCAACTAGCAAAATAAATCCCTTAAAGAACTGAATTATTTTATAACTATCGTCTAGAGCTGCAAAAAGAACATTTTTATTGTTTAATGCGTCTTAATACAATAATTTTATCGTAAAAACGACGAAATTCTAATACATTATTGTATATATATTCTTACAACTCGTGTTATAGAACCAAACTCATACACATTTTTTAACCATTGTATAACGTTGTATACAATCCCTTATAAAATTATTTTAAAAGAGTTGTATAAAAGTTATAATAGAGTTGTATACCTATTCTTATACTTGTAGTTTCAACGTTTTATGATAGTTAACTATTAACTATTAACAATTGTAATAGAATTTGTATAAAAGTTGTATTGAAGCTCTATAAGATACATTAAAAATTGTTTTTTTAAGCAGAAGTAAACACACTACACAATAAGTATAAAGTTATTTTATAATTATCCTATAACTACACCGATTAACTTCTTTATAGAAAGTTTATAAAATAAAATTATCGCAAGTTCTGCGATATAATTTTATTACTTAAGTCTGATTATACATTTAGTGTCTTATTACGCCAAAATAAGTTAAATATTTTTTTAAAATGGAGTCGCAATGGAAAAAAATTAAGAAAAGTGGGCATTTTAAAAAAAATAAAAATAGGTTAGGTCACATGTAGATAAAGAAGGTACCGCTAAAAAGTGGATAAAACAGAACACAATTGTATAGTGCGGTACAATGCATACCTTAAGCGATATTATTGTTCTATTGCGCAGTAGGCAAAGGCGTTATAGCCAATACGAAAAATGAACTTACAGGGTTGTTATTTTAGGCAGCAGTGTTACCTACAAATCCTTATTTGCATAAAAAATGAAGGTAACGTCGTGCAGGATAAATAAAATTTTACTTGATGTACCTAACTGCACCAAAAATGAGTATTTTATTCTAAAAAAAAAACAAATAATTTGAAAAATACAGATAAAATCTGGCATGCAACATCTCAAATGTCAGTTTCTTGCTTTACTTTTATAGCGCCTGTATTAAACAACTTTACAGAACCTAAATATCGTATAACGCACGCGACAGAGCAGATAAATTGTATAACGTTTTTATAAAGACAAAACCATTTTATAACAAAAACGCCATATTTATTGACCGATCAATTGTTTATAAATCGCCGCCATCCCAAACAGCACACAACATCCTTAAGACGTCTTGTTTATGTCTTAATAAGGTCTGAACGTCTTAAGACCTAAAAACGACGTCTTAAAGACATATTTGAGAAGACGTCTTAAAACAAGCAATTTAGTAACGTCTTAAAGACGTCTTTTTAAAGTCTGTTTCGGGATATAAACTATCTAGGATCTACCTGCTGTACTGCAATTTGTACCCGCGGCGTTTACTTTATTAAGATAACCTGTATAAATTAATTAATTACTTTCTTTAGCTTTTGAATACATTTAAAGACTTAGTAAGGACGTCTTAAAGGCGTATTTTTGAAGACGTCTTAAAGATATGCAATTTGTGATATCCTAAAGACGTCCATGAAAGCCTAGTTTGGGACATTTTAACCTAACTGCCTATTGAGAAACTCAAAAAAATGTACACCCTTACAAAACTATCTGTTTATGTGAAGTGTAAGAATTTGCTCTATATATACTAAATACTTATGTTTAACAGTTTAGATAGGTACTTTTATATCAACAATCTCTCTATTTTAATATTATTTGATACCAATGGTAATTTTAAATTTAGCGCGCTTCTATTATTTCCCTCTTGTGGAATTTGCCTTAAATACAAAACTGGACAACGTTGTCAGATCGACTAATTTTTAGCAGATCTACAACAAATTAAATATAACAACAAAATGTATTCAATAAAATATTAAAACTTACAGCATTTCTAATCAGGGCCTGTATAGGAAATTTTTTGTAGGATTTAATATTAAATCCAAACACGATAGAAATAAAGAAACAAATAAAACATCTGACCAAACCACCATGCGCAATGTGCAAAGAGAACTCCGGCAACGCTGTTGTCAAAGCGGAATTGGCATATGATTAGCCATTTTGTTTGTTTTTTTTACAAACATTTTTGTTAGCTGATACTGCTTGACTTTGCATTTTATTTAAACTTTTTCGGTGTCTAGCTATTTACAAATAAAACTTACTGTGAACTGTGAGAGTGAGTGTGAGTACTATAATAATTATAAAACTTAATTTTATGGCCGTTGTTTGGACCAAACAGTGTCGTGTCTTCAATCTTCAGCAGTGAGAATCCAGTGAAATAGGTAATAAGAAACATGAAGCGTATTCGTTTAAGTAATTATTATTTTTTATAAAATAGCTGTCTATTTAAAAGTTTTAAAACCTGTTTTAAAACAAACAAACCGCTGTTGTGTAAATTAATACGTTTTTTTTTAGGATCAGTGGAGAAATCGGGTCTTGCCAAATTTGATAAAGATACGGAAATTGCTATTCAAGCTTGGCTAAAAAGGGCATCAGATAGAAGAACCCAATTATTAAAGAAGTTTTAAGATTTTTTTTTCAAATATTTTGCTATCTGTATGATTTTATGTGGCCAACCTTCCACCTCAAAGTTGGAACACTTTGTTTATTTAAAAATATAAAATAAAAGTTTCAGTGGATTTTGAACGATTTTTTTAATTTTAGCAATATATTTTAGTCCCTTAAAGACGTCTTTACGACGTCCATTAATGGCCGTAAAATGACTTAATAAAGATGTCTTAAAGACGTTGGGTTTTTTAACATTCGACGTCTTAAAGACGTCGTAAAGACGACGTGCGGCGTAAATAAGACGTCTTAAGGATGTCTTGAATAGCGAAGCAAGGCGTCTTTAAGATGTCTTAAAGATGTCTGTGTGCTGTTTGGGATTGTGTGAATTTTACTAACAAACGTTAAAACTGTCAATTAAAAATGAATTTTCTTGAAAAAAATTAATGTAATCTTAAGACTAGTCAATTATAAACTGAACAAATAAAACAATAATATTCTTAAAAAACATGAAACTTTGTCAAATAAAAAATTAATTTTTTTTTTTTTAAATAATTTTTAGTAGGTATGTTTGTTAACTGGCGCTTTAATTTTTCGTTAAAAATATATACATATATTAATAAGATTGCTCCGCAGGAAGATGTTGTCCTCGATAGCGTAAATCTCAAAGGTTTAATAATTAAATTTACATAATAAACAACAAGCACCATTTTGGATCTTAGCCGTTTGACATCCAACATAATTCGCATTATAAAATAGTCTTAGGATAAAAATTTCCCACTCCATTCCTAATTTCTAGAGAAGGAAACAAATTGATGTTCTTATAACGATTCTGTCGCATTATAACATACTTATAAAATGCTTGTTTTAATATTCTATAAATATTCGTAAAGTGCAATTAAGCTGCAGAGTAAAACCGCTATAGTATAATCGTATAGCAGTTCCCCAGTATACTGATACTGAGTTTTATAAGGGTTGTGTAGTGTATTTATATAACTGCTAACGAAGTAAACTGTTTTATAAAACGGGGCCCTTTTTGGTTGAGTAAGTGTTGTATAGTAGTTTTTAAACGCATTATACAATTTTAGCTTTTCTATAATATGTGTTGTATAGCAGTTCTAACAACACTTACATAATCAATTTTGTTAGCTGGGTATGTTCTGCGACCTGCGACAATTGTAGACCCGGCTTTACTTATAATAATTAATTATTATAAATTATTTGTATCGATTTTAAGCACTATAGGATATACTGAAATAAATCATGATTGTCTATTCCCAGACCGCAAAATCCCGTTCGCTGCACATGTCAGGAATATTCTCAGGATTATTCCAAGCGTACCAGAATATTCCTGGCCGAATCAAATGTCCGCTTTTTGGTTCATGTACCTATACATGGAATATTCTTTTTATGATGACTGGGTTAACCAAAAAGCTAGAGCGGCATGCATTTGACTTAAGTATTGTTAGGAGAATGTACCTTAATATAATTTGGCGATTACTCCTAGCACTTATGGCCACTTATACCCAGGAACTTAACTTATACTAGCCCACTCATCATTGTTTAGCATCACAGACGCACATCTTTAACTGATATAAAATATTATTAACATATCAACTAAACTAATGAACTAGTTCCCAGCTGGGAATGTTCTTAGATGATGTTTGGAAGTTTTAGAGGATCATTCTATGGAATATTCTTAATGAATATTCCTAGAATGAAGCGGATTATTCCTAGATAGGGCATATTCCAGTCTGAGTAATAATAATTTTACTTAAATGTTGTGTAGCCTTTAATTATTCTTAAAGATTGTTTCAGACATATTCCCAAATAATGCTCCGGGAATGTGCCGGATCATTCCAGATAAGCAGGGAATATTCCTGGAGCATTGCGGTCTGGGTTATAGACAGGAATATTCTCTGAATATTACAAGAATATCAGGAATATTAAGTAGATTTGGAGAATATTCATAAAGAATATTCTAATAAGAATATTCTAATTAGAATATCCCGTGCAGTCTGGGGTCATCTATATTTCATAGTTTTCATTAAGCGATCCG